CCGGTAAAACCCCCCCCCCCCCCCCCCCCCCCGGTGTTGGCCCCGAGCTGACTTTGTTCTCAGCCTGTTTGAATTGAGCATAAACGTTAACATGTTTATCTTTTGTTTCCAGAGAAAAACAAGCCCGATGTTATGGGGCCTCGTTTTACAGATGAAGCGGTTCAGAGCTTGCTGTACAAGATGACAGGGCTGAATTTAGAGAAGATTTTTAGGCCTTTTAAACAGGAACTTAAACCACTGACATTCAAGACAATGACGGATGCACAGCTGGAGGAGGTAAGGTGCTAATCTGTATGGATAACTGCACTCTTCAATTGGAAACATTTCAAACTAATTAAGCTCCAGAGCACTTTCGCAAGTGGTCATATTGACAGACCTGCTTTTATACATGATTGAATATGTATTTCAATCCCCTCCCTCACCCACACCTATGCATCTGCTACAATAGATTCAATCTTAGTTTTTAGATGCAGATAATTGATGCTGCTTTAGTGATGGTCATTTGATTGCTGTTTCTTTTGTGAGAGTTGAAAAGCAATAGGTGAAGGAAGCTGAATGGGAAATATTCCTGTGAACCCAGAATAAGAAGTGTTTATGTCTGTTCAAGATCTCTGGAAGGTTGCATCAAATCCAGTATGTTCAGTGTAGTGAGAATCAAATTCCTCTTTGTCCAATGCTAGTTATGCAATATCTGTGTGCACGGAATAAAAAGTGTAATTGTTTGGTGACGCTTCACTTTTTTGTATACTGCAATTACGTGGAAAATATAAGACTCTGGCGCAGCAACCAAATAGAATGGTTTTTTACGTAATAACAAAATCCATTGTAAAAGTGGCAGGCCAGCTTGGGGTTAGTGTACTGGAAAGCCTGCAAGTTCTCTTACCTCTCTCCTTTTTTTTTTTTTACTAGTTTACTAGATTTTAATGTGGCACCAGTCATTTTTAATAACTCAGATTATTTTGACTCAATTTTTTTCCTTGTTTTTGTTTACTTTATATGGGAATGGCTTTTTCAAGAATGGGGAAAAGTTTAATTAAAGCAATGCTCACCCATCCTCCAGCCCTATTGTTTTATGTATATCTGTTCCACGTTTAAATATCCACCCAAAATTTGTAATTATTTCACCTGCTGCTTCCACATTGCCCCAGGACTTGGAGTTGCAAGAAAACTGGTTCAGGTTGCAAAACAATAATCTTGGGTATCTCCTAAACAGATAATATTTACTGGTTTGAAATCTGTCTTGGAATATGATTGAAATAAATTGGGTGGTTTCAACCAGAACCTCCCTTGAACATGTTTTTTGTTTACCTTTGTCAGCTTCCAAGTTTTAGAAGGAATGAGAGAGAACATTTTTGGGTCAGGATTAATAGTATATCATTTCCATGAGAGATTGTCTGCATTATGATAGTATAATCCTTTTTATAGTTGAAATTGATCCAGAGGTGAGGAGAGCTTATTTTTAAAGTACTTAGCCCGATGTTGAATGTTAGCTTTTTAACACAGTGTGATATTTATGTATACATTTAACACATTTTTTCTTTAATAGGCCACAAAAAAAGCTATTGAGGAAGCCAAACATAAATTAAAAATGCCTCCTGTTTTAAGTGAGCGAGAGCCAATTAATGATGTATTAGCAGAAGATAGGCTACTTGAGGGGACAGAAACTGTCAAGTATGTGTTCACTGATTTAACTTACAGTATTCCACACAGGGTGAGTAACTTACTAATATTTTTGTTCTGCAAAAGTGCTCTGAGCTATTGATAGTCCCTGTAGAGTTGCAAACAAAAACAAGAAGTTTACATTTTAAAACGTTAGCTAATACCAGTCTATTGAAAAATCTCATATTCAGGACCATGTACAGTACACAAATGTGCTTCACAGTCTTTCCTACCAGCAGGTAATTGTTTGGATATAATAACACAGGAACTTTCTGGAAAGGGGTGTGATATACAGATATTTGATAGCCAAATATTTAAAGTTCATCAGATATTTACAGTGGATGGTGAGGCCCACCATATCTTTCCCCTGCATTGTACAGACTGAGCGCAGACCAAAAGAAGCTGCAGCCAGGGTTTTGCTTGCGTATTAAAAAAGTTTTTGTTTTTAAAAAACCCTAATAAAAAATCCATTTGATGTGAAGATTTTTGGGGAGAAAAAAATCTTAAAAAAAAAAGAAGTATGTGTATGAAGAATGCTAAGTTCAGTTTAGTGTTGATGGCTGTAAAGGTGAAGTAAAAGCTACCACTGTTGTAAATAATATTATGCTTTATGTTTTCTTGGGCTTTGAAGAGCTCCTGATACCTGTTTGTTGATTCTGTACTTCTTGTATCACTCTCCTGTATTGCATAATGGGGTGATTGTAATATGTTAGCATACCCATTCTGGTTCTGTTGAGCTACCCTGGGTAGCAACTGTAGTGAAGAGGCAGTGATATGGAATTCAGCACATGCTAGAAGCTATTTTCAGGTCAATAGCACTTCCATTCTTTTTGTTTCTGACCACTTCTCTTGGTTCTCTGCCATGAGCCCCTTCAACCTATTAGATCAGAACTGCATGCCTAATATCACTTGGGCTGCTCTCAACCCTACCTGTTCATTCCTGAAGGACAACACTGGTATCTTTTATTTGTTCAGGAGCACTCTGGTTATCCTGGGTTTCCCACTCAAAGTTTCTGAAAACTTATTTCTGAATATTACAGAGGGAAAAAATAGGACAGATGGGCTTAATTAAAGAAAAAAAAGTTGACTTTTATTACTTCTCAATTTCAGGAGCGTTTCATTGTGGTTAGAGAACCAAGTGGTGTATTACGCAAAGCTTCCTGGGAAGAACGAGATAGAATGATACAAATCTTCTTCCCAAGAGAAGGACGCAAAGTTTTTCCACCACCAGTGTTCAAGGAGGAAATTCTTGTGGTAAATCTCGTGGCTTTGAAAATTCATAGTGAATGCTGCTCTTCAGTGTACCATTGTTTGAAAAGTAGTAGATTTTAATAGGCTGGCCTACAGGCAGTTCTTTTGTAATGCTTAAAGGACAGGAACTAAGGGAAGCATGCAGGCAGTTAGTCCTATGTATTCATTAGAATAGGTTATTTTAATTAACTTACAGGTCTTCACAAACAAATCCTGTGGAGCTAAGTAAATAAGTACTTGCTGATCTACAGGCCCACATTTATACAGCAAGTGTGGCTACTCTTGCTTACTCTTAATCTGAAAAGATAACATGGTGTTTGGGAAACAGTTTGTTTTCCTTTACACTATTTTATCCTGTGGTTTTGGGTGTGGTCATAAACTGCATCTTACTGAAGGACTTGATGGCAATGTGGCTGGGCTACTCAGGGCAGGGTAGCTCCTATAAAATACTACAATGTTGCAACCTCCAGAATTAGGCAAGTATATGGTGCCTCAGAACCCTAGCCCCCACTGCCTCATAGCTACTTCTTGATTAGAGAAAGGCTAAGGAATAACACCCTGAAAGAAATGAGCTTTTGCTGAGGTGTTGGGCAGTCAGCAGCAGTTATCTGTTGCTATGTGGCAGAAGCTACAGTCGTTGAAGCACCAAACATCTGGAATCAGTCTGACCTTTGAATTCTGTCTTGGTGGTCTAAAGGTAGGTCTTGGACAGCTTTCACTCCTCCATACTCTTGCCTAGGCATACATATCAATGGTAGCAGGACTCCATACAAGTGGATTCATCAGGCACCCAATTAGACTTCTTGTATGCATACACCATGGTAGAGAGAATCAAGAGTTGCCTACAATTTTATTTTGGCACAGCAGAATTAAAAGCAGCTGTTTTGCATCCCTGGTCATTTTCACCAAGATGTTAGTGCCATAATTACTGGGTTTTTTTGTTGGTTATGGATTATTCTGGGGACATCTTAAAACTAATTTGTAAATTCCAACTAACTGTCATTTCAGCAAGTATTACGTCAAGACCGTCATGAAGATGCCCTTAATCTCTGCATTGCACAGTTTGAGCCGGATTCAGCTGACTATATCAGAGTGAGTTGAATATTTTTTTTTGTCATAGGAAGCAGATTCCCAGCAAAAAGATTTGTAGATTTTGATGTGAAAATGGGTTGTGTGCACTGCAGCAGTTCAAATCTAATTGCCTTTTAATAGTTGAATAGTTATATTTTTCTTTCAGTTGGGTGCAAATATATGTGTTGATTTTTGTAACGTCCTTCTCTGGGTGTATCGATACTTGTACTTTACTGAGTAGAATAATTAGCTCTGCAGTAAAGTCACAGTCTACATGTGCTGGCATTAGGACAGTAAACTAATTAACTGTGCTGTATGATAGTACTGTCAAAGACAGCACTATCTTATGGTGGAGTACTTAACTGCACTGAAATACACATGTAGATGGTGACTGGTTGTGGGGCTAGACTCCTGGCTGTCATCTAACTGTATGGCTTCACACGTGCTGCACACTCATGCCTCAGCCAGCCTCTCCACAGCCCAATGCTGCCATCTGGAGCTGACCCCTTGTACCTCCTGCTAGCGGGAGCATGCTCTACTCCAGCTCAGATTACTGCTGTCCCGGGTGCACATGTAGATGCTGTGACTACGAGCAGTTTCTTGTGGCTTGAACTGTTCCAGAGGTTTTTTTGTGTTACATTAATTGCATATGTAGATGCACCCGCTGTGACTAAGATGTCTCATAAATATTTTATCAGTTGACAATACAAAAAAGAATAGTTGTACAGATAATCTAACTGAAAATGTCACTGCCAGACATTCTGGATTGTTTTGAAACAAGCAATATCAATGGTGCATATAAAACTGATTGTATACAGTTAAAAAGTTAAAGGAATACCAACTAGCTAGAAGTCTAACAGATTTCAAAAATATTTATAAAAGCTTGGCTACAGCTGCCAAGAAGTCTTATCAACTTGAGTTAATAAAAGTTGACCACCTGCCTAAATGTTTTCTCTCTTGCTATGTGAAAGATTTATAGTAAAAGCTGGCTAAAAAAATTCAGGTAGAAGTATAATTTTAAAGTTGTCTCACAGCTGTAGCAGTTGATCAGGCAGTGCTTTAAAATACTTTTTTTTTTTTTTCTTAAATACTATAATTCTTTTTGGTGACATTTGAAAATTACATTTGATCCCGTGCAAACTAATACTTGTACAATTTTATCTAGGTAGGTAATAATCCAGTTTTTTTCAGTATTACAAACATGAGTAAAATCCTTTACGTGCACAAAATCTGATTGGAACAAAATCCTAAAACATAAATATTCCAAGTTAAAAAAAGTGTCATTACTTGCAGTTATTTAAGGGCACTAGCCAAAGTGAAATACAGTTGGCTTCTCATTTTACATGTCTCCATTCAGATACTTAAGCAGCTTGTTTTGGGGGGGGGGTTTCTCCCTGGAACTGCAGTGTTCAGTGGTTCCCACTTGAAATCAATACAGATACAGGCTTCCAACCTTAGTTTTCAGATCCTGGAAATGTTGATTAACTTTTAGGGTATTATAGGGTAAAATTCTTACTAGTTTTCATTGAAAATACAGGAACATGACTTTGTACTCAACTGTAAGATTATTTTTGTCTATCATCCCTAGTAATGGTGCACATTTTTGCTGTAAAATGCTAGTCTGCTGTTTTTCATGCAGTGCTTGTAATCCAAAAATAACACCTTTTGTTGTTATGTGGAAAGTGAAAATTACTTCATGAAAAGATAAATTGTTGGTCTATTATCCAAGATTGAATTATGGTAGCCATACAGCCTCTTAAAGAAAGACACATTTTACCTGCTTGTTTCTTTTGAAACACTGAGATTGAAGATTACAGATTCTCTGTTACCGGTTCTTTATGTGGATGACTTAGCTGAGTGTACAACTTTTCTTTTTTTTTTTTTAAACTTACAAGATAGTTCCTGTCACTTAAGCATACTCAGTTAGTGCTGCAATGCTCAACCTTTTGGCCCAAATGAGTGGCATGGAGATTGTCCACAGGCTGGATCAGGCCTCGTGCTCCGAGATCAGTCCCTGGCAAACTACTGCCTTTGCCTACCAGGATTGGGTCCTGCAAAGTTCCCCTGTGCTGGGATCAGGCCCTAGTACCTGATCAGTTATGCAGGACCATGCTACCTGGCCCTTGGGACCAGTAGTGTAAGGATGTGACCAGGTGCTTGTAGCAAATCTGGTTGCCATTGCATTTGTGCTAGCAAACACAGCTGCCCCTCCCCTGCATAAGTTGGCACCAGGGCAATTGCCCCTATCACTCTCCTACTCCTAGTTATGCCAGTGCAGGGGAGGAGCAATTAATGCTGCTAGTGTTCCCCACCTTGCCACCAAATGTTCAGACTGGTGAGCAGGCCTGTGGGCTGGGACTGAGTATTCCTGAATTAATGGAAAGAGCTTCAGATTGTTAACATTTTTGGTGGGGGGGAAAAGTTTGTTATTTAAGGCCTTTTTCTTTTTAATATAAAGAGACAGCCCTTCAACCCATGGGAGTTGGAATATTCTAATGTGATGAGGCATTGTTTAAAAGTAGGACTTGCATATCCTACAATATAGAATTAACAACTTTGAGGCAGTCTGTGCTGTCAACACTGCTGTAAAGCCTGTAGGTGGTGAAAAAATTAGAATAGTCGGAAGTGAAACACAGACTTGAAGATGATCAGGACTGTAAGCCAAGAATGACAAATGAGGTTCTTTAAAGGGAATTTTAAAGTGATTTTTTTTTTCTGAAATCTGTTCTTGATGTCAACTTCCAACTTCTGCTTGGGCAGATTCATCATCAGATATATGATGATATTGATAAAACTGCCAAATATGATCTGCTACGTTCAACAAGACACTTTGGAGGAATGGTGTGGTATCTAGTAAACAAGAAGACTACTGATGGCTTGCTAATGGATATGATCCAGAGAGACTTGTAAGTACTATTTGTTAGATACTGGCATGACTTATCAAATTCAACTCTTGTTTTTTCTAAACTCAAAATAAGTTTTGTTAAGTCTAGCACAAAAATACAGGTCACCTACCTACCTCAAGTCCACCCCATTTTTCATGTATGTATTTATTTGACTTATTTGCTGCCTTTTGTAACAAAGGCTCAGGATAGCTTACAGTAGGGAGACAGAATAATGTAAACAGGAGAGCAACAAGTAAACAAAAACAATTTAAGAGGGTATTGGAACATCACAATAGGAGACCCCTCATATCTCATCTCAGTTTGATAGTAAATCACATTTTTGGCTTTAAGAAATTATTTACAATGACTGTTAAGTAATTGTAACTTTTCAAGGATGCAAAACTATTATGAGTACATACATGTCAGTGTTTTGCTCTCTCATGTACCAGTAATAGTATGTTGAGCCTATTGAGTCATTTTTTTCAGGAACTTCTGTTTTTAAAGGAATCTCTAATTGCAGTTGTAATCTACAGCCCATTGCCCACTTTAGTGCAACACAATGATGACCCTGAAGGTTGTTAACTTAATCCTATTGATCATTTTAGAATTAACAGTACAAATGAATAGCATATATTAGTAGACCTCTTCAAGAACAGTGTTCTGAATGAAATATCATGTTAAGTTTATGTTTGTCAAAAATGAAGAACTACTGAATTTTGGTGCGACTGGTAGGAAGTATTCTGGAGTCTCAGAAGCTTGTCTGTTTATAGTGCACCCACACTATAATGGATCTCATACCTGCTGTTCTTAGACTTCACTTCCGTGAACATCAGGAACTAAAAGTTACTCAAGAGCAGAAGCTACTCTAAGGGTTCTGAACACTTTTTTGAGTGGCTAAAAATATGCTTGGCCTTACAAGTCAGTCTTTTAATAGCTACGGAAAAACCATGATTGAAATATTGGCATACTGTGGGGGTAGCTTATAAAAATGGTTTTACTAGATGACACGCGCTATTTAACATTTGGAAGGGTATGCATCTTTTTTTTTTAAACAGCTGTCAGCTGAAATAGTGGAAACTAGAAAACATTCTTAATACCAGTGGAATCTAGGATTTAAAGTTTTCCTGAGTGATTAAGTAGTAGTTACTAAGTTAATTTTGCAATTCAAACAAGGGAAGCTTAAAAGCTTCAGTGTTTTATATCAAACTTGGATAGGCAAAAAACTGTGGTAGCAATAACATTTATTTCTAGAGCATGAAACTTTACCTTTAAAAGATCAGTGAGTCCTGTTGTGTTCCAGTGCTGGATCAAACGATGCACATGTCAAATCACAAGTGAGAAAGGCATATGGAGAAGTTTCCATAATTGCTGGAATCACTTTCCTGTTAAGTCTCTCTCCAAATATGCTGTATTTTTTTGGCTTCAATGAGTCTGTCTGCCTGTACTATTAACGTAAATCTTATTCTCACTCAAGTTTCAGCTATACTTTCAGGGAATTAAGTATCTCAAACTTCCAATATGCGAAAACAACTTTTTGGATCATAGTGTTCTGGAAATGGACTGGATTAGTGGATTCTTACACTAGCAGATTTGGAAAGAACAATCTCTAGCAGAACTCTTGAGGTTATTTTTAAGTAGTAATCACTACTTAAAGCCACACCACATTTTTAAAATAGGAAAAGGGTGCTCAAACTTGTTTTGGGGAGAAGGTTTAAACAATATATAGTTAATGGAACAAAAACTGATTCATGGTAACGATCCTCAGCGTGGCATGAACAGAGATTGAAATGGACAAAGAGAAACACTGGAATGCTTATCTCCACATCATAAGTTGGTAATGGCCTGGTGTACTAATGTACTTTTATACTATGCTATAAGATGTGCAATTGTTTTTTAAGTTTTAAATGTGTGTCATCGTCTGGCCCCCCTTCCCCGAGAAAAGCAGGTGTTGATGACTCTCTTAATTTGTTTAGACTGGATGATGCCACAAGTTTAATCAGGTTATATCACATGCTTCATCCTGAATGCCAATCAGCAAAAGCAGCCAAAGAACAGGAACTCTGTGGGGTAGATTTAATAAAGGTATAGTATGCTTTCTTATTAAATGAGTGCATTTAAATTCTTTTTCTTAAGGTACCTAAACTTCAGTACTAAAACCTTCTTTTCATGATAGGTATTCTAGACTTGATTGTATAAAAATCTCTACTTTCATGGGTAGAGATATTAAATCACACAATGACTTTCTGGTTTAAGTAGCAGTATAGATGCCATAGAGAACACTTTTTATATATTAATAAATCAAATTGCTAATATACCATAGACCAGACTGAATATTAACTGCTGTTTTCTTTTTAAACAGGTATTTATAAAAACAGAATCACAAAAACAAGGCTATATAGAGTTGGCTCTTCAAGCTTATCAGGAAACACTGACTAATTCTGCAGCTTCATGAAATAGAAAAGGCCTTATTTAATCTTGTGGTAAATTTTAGATCTATTTCATCATGTTAATATATGGAAAAGGAGCTGCATATTGCTAACTTTGTATATAACTCCAAAATAAACACTTGAGCATCTGCCTGGGTTATGTATTTTTACTTCAGGTAAAAAAGGCACTAAACAGCAAAACAATGCACAGTGCACCTGCCTTCTCTTTATCAGAATATGTATTATGTTGCTTTTGCAAATGAGAATAAGAAAACTTATGGGAAAGACATGCCTTATTGTCCTAGTTCCACTACTGAAATACAGGCAACGATGATGCCAGGGACCCAAGAATTAAAAAAAATTAAATGTTTTGTGCAACTTTATTGTTAAAATAGATGAAATCTGAATAAATTAAAGTAAGATTAAATGGAATAAATACATGGGAACGAATGGCTTTAGAGAGAAAATATATGGGTGTGGGGTTGCTAATTAGAGATATTTCAACTAGAATTAGTCTTCACTTCCATTCACTGAACTCTCTGGAGGTACATTCTTGAAAATTAAGACTTTGGTCTAAAAAAAAATAAAAATGCAGGTATGTGGTAACTAGCATTTTAAGTAGTTTGTCTTGCCTGTAACACTTTTCCTCAACCACTATTATGCCTGACTTTCAAGATGGTCTCCCTTTGCATATTTGTTGTTGGATGTTAATTAGTTCTGGCTATTTTAAGGAAATTTAATATCAGCAGCAACATGAGCAAACATAGAACTAGTCCATTTAAAACAATTTATTTCTTAGTAAGCATGACAACATATGTCTACTATTACACCTAAGGTGCTCTGCATAATGAATTTCAAAATATTGTAGTTTAATGATTCACCTTATGAAACAGATGGACCCTGTTCTTGTATCTACATTTTTGAACTACAGTATAAAAATCAAGCTAGTTTCCAACACATATAGTCCATACAATTCCACTCTTCTGTAGGGAGTGAGCAATTAAGAATTTGGTCATTTAAAATAAAAAGTTTAGTTTAGTCATCCAAGATATCTTCATCCAGGTTAATATCTGTGGTGTCAATATCCTCCAGATCCAAATTATCTAAATCCTCTTCTTCCAATTCTAGTAGTGCCTGGGAGAAGGAAAGTATTCAGTTAGGTAAGTAGAAGTACCCTGTTTTAACTGCTAAGTTTTCTGAGTTTTTGAAAACTTTTTATGGTGCTGGTGCTAGGGGTGGTAAAGGAATGTGTTAGATTCAGATATCAGCAATAGCTATTTAAGGCATGATTACTGTCATTTAAGACCCAACTATACAACCTGTGTTTTGAATTGAAGCTGATGCCTTTAAACACAGTCCATGCTGCTATTCTGTAAAAACTGCCTCAACATTTCTTTAGTGAGAGGGAATGTCCAGCACCCTAGGCCCCAATATTTAGTCTGTCCTTAGGCACTACTGTAGATAACCAGCAACCATTCATATCAAAGTGAAAATTTAAGGTAGTTTTGAGGCTTTCAGGATATTTTGTGTTACGTAGTCAAGGAAGTCTGAAGTTGTAAATATACTTGCTTTTCTTCCTCTCACCTATACTGTTAACATTTACATTTTAAGTACCTTTTCATCTTTTGTTATTGAAAGTGGTTCAGGCATTGCTGGAACTGGAGACACCATTACTGGCTTAGGAGATGGAACACGTTCTTCAATTTCCTTTGTAAGATGAAAATGAGATTTCAAATTCACAAATTACATCATAATGAATCAAAGCTATATGAATGAGTATGAATTAGGCAGGTTTAAACCATACTTTCCCCAAAGGGACGGGCTTGTTCAAGCATGGGAAATCTTTAAATAGTTTACAATTGTACTCTATGGCTGCTGAGGCTTAAATAGTTTGAAATGAGTTGTACTTGAGGCAACACAGTGCTGATACAGCTATTTTTAGCAACACCACAGTAAATGAATGACTCTTATTCCATTTAAAAACTTTAATTCACTTCATACGTGAAATTTTTTTTTAAGAATGTAAAACTCATACATTTTAGGGTCTAGCACTAGAAGTTAAGTTCTAAGAAGCGCACTAACGCAAGGCAGTCTTTAGTGCTGTAGTACACCAATGAAAAGTCAGAACCAGTAGGTCAACATTTTCTTTCCCATTTTAAGAGACTTCACACCTGGGCCGACAATTTGGTCTAAACTGACTTAATCTTATTTGAACACCATAGTTAAGTATACATAAGTTTACTGCAGCAAACACTTTAAAGTCTCTCTAAAGTCCTGAATACTATGTTGTCCTATTTTGTAAAAAAAGATTTAAGGACAGCCTTTCCCCAAATCACAACTACAGTTTTAGAAAATGGCTACAAATTTTAACTCATGAAGCACTAGCATCTTTAAACTGAGCAATTATAGCTTAAGGGCATTTTTACACATGTATGCATTGCAGGGCCAGGTGCAGCAAGAGGTGTGTCAATGCTGAGAAAGTGGTGGCTGCGTAGTTTTGAACTAAAGCACCTTGGAGGTGCACGCTGACGCGTGGTTTGTTCCTTATACAATGGTATGCAGTGCAGTGCAGTTTGCCTCAGCTCACATGTGAAGAAGACTCAATTGAGTCTGCTCCAAAGTGGCAGATCTCTGGCTCATCACTGGAAAAAGTACTATGTGTATAAAAATGCCCATCGTGGCTGTATTGTTGTTAAAACAAGCACATTTGTAAAAGACAAAGAAATAGCACCAGCAAGTATACATATCAAGTGGCAGATTTTAGTACATGCCTTTTTTGCCAGCATTTTTAATTTATTACTTTCCTGCAAGTATTATAGCTGACCATGTGTTTTCATGTTATGACCAAGCAAACATTCCAATTCCAAATATCAGAAAAAAAATACTATTCCAATTTTTTGGACCATATTCTGCTTCTCATTACAAATCACACAACTACAGTGCTACTGAGGAAAAGAGCCAACAACACTAGAGTAACAGCGCAGAACTTGACTACAATTTGTTCACAGATATAAACCAGGAAAGACAGAGTCAGTTTGCAGTGCTACATTTCCTGCCCAACAAGCTTTTAGTTTGGAACCAAGTAGTCTCAACTCTCTAAGCTGGAATTAGAACAAGTGAGGTTCTACTTGTTCTAATTGAAGATTAACATGCAGCCTCCACACAAAGTCAATTTGTCCTGAGGTCAAGCAACAAACAAAAAAAAATAAATTCCTCTTTATGGAAGTCAGTGATTTATACCTAGTATCTAATTCCAACAGAAGTCAGCATGCATGCTTTTGATTTACCCTGGGAGAAGGGGACCAGATATGTGCAGCTATCTTCAGTAAGTTAAATTATTCACATGCAACAAGAATGCAAAATGTAACAACATGAGGGTATGCACAGTATTTTAAGAGTTCCTAATATTTTAGGTAGCACTACATAATTTCCCATCCAAATATGGACAAAGCAGTAAATTTAGAGTGAAGGAGAGTAACTCATAGTAATGAAACTACTGGTCAGTATTCTCTCAGGAGTCAACATTTATGAGTTCATTAAGTAAACGTCTTTGAGCAAGGGGGCAAGTGACTCAGCCAAGATTTATCACAATAAAGGCAAACTAATGCTATAACATATCCATTAAAAGGCAGGAAGCGTCCCCAGAGCAGTTGTTATTGCACAATACTAATCCTGGAACTTTGCTGCTCAGCTACAACACTGACCTCTGATACTATTACTCCTGAAGGTTCAAATCCCTTTGATTCTTCTAGTAAGCTTCTTTCTTCATTTGGCTACCAAAACAAAAAACAGCAGAGAACTTCCATCAGCATGCTTTAAAGCAATAAATCTGTATAAAACAACTTGAGAATTTGTGTACCCATAAAACGTATTTTTTAAAAAACCCTTCTGCTTGCTTACAGTGACAAGTGGGTATTCCCTGGCAGGCCGCAAGTCAGAATGAGTTTGTTTGACGTATTCTTCCACAACAAAAGCTTCTTTTAATCCAGGGAAAAGGTTCTCATATTCTGTGGGATCAGCAAGGGACTCTGCTGCTTTCTGGTTGATTTTAGACAGGTTTTCTCGCCATAGTTTAACTACCCTGGTAGCAGAAAAAAAATACATTTGCTTTATGCACTTAAAAAAAAAATAAAAATCAGTATTCCTACTTTTTGCAGATTTTAAAAAGTTACCTTGAAACTTGGCTTGGCAAATATGTACGTGCAAGGAAGGCAGCTTCAGGCAGGCGTCCGGTTTTAATTAAGAGTTCCAAGCAGGAGTCAAGCCTAGAAGTTTAAAACTGAAGTTTAGTCAATGCATTAATAGAGGTAGATTTTGCAGTTGATTGTTTCTATGAGGGGGTTACCAAAATTAAAGAAGAACAAAGAAGTTTAATTTCAGGTTTCTATGTATTTTATGGTAAATGTATTAAAATCCCTCTCAAAGGCCATATGTGAAAAGGCACACCAAAGTAAATGCTGAAATTACATACATCACACATCCCTATTTTTATTTTAGGAGCTTCATGCTCAAATGTATCCCATATCATTATTATGTTATATCAGGGACACAGCACTAATCCAATTTACTGAAGTTCTTGATCTCTCTCATTTCAAGTCATTCTTCACATTAACAGTTAAATACTTAAATATAGCACTACAGTAGAATACAAAGTCTAGAAGCCAATAGTTTCTTCCCATTCTATAAAAATGGAGATATATATTTTCATATTTCACATTTTTAGATGGCTTCTATCCTAGCTGATGTGCACAGGCATGAGAGTGCCACGAACTATTTTAGTAGTTGCCACAGGTAGGTTGCTAGCTTGGGAATTTGTATTGTGGTCTACACTTAGTCTTGGAATTCCATGTTTTATAGAAATAGAATCAAAACAAGCCCTTGTTTGCTACTTACTTTCCCTGCAAGAAATAGCTCATAAATGCTACATTATTCTTGCCATCTTTTTCTGCTCCCTCTGCTAGCTTGTTCACCATGCTGGCATTTCCCGATGCTGTAGCCAAGAGTAATAAGCCTCCATAGTCCTGTGCATGGTGCAGGCATTCCTGGGCTAAGCCAAACTGGCACTTACTGATAGCAAGCTCAGCAAGTTGTTTCCATTTCTGTTCCGACTGCAAAAAGAAAGTTTTTTCATATTTAATTTTTCTTAAA